TTATACTTCACCTCATCAACCATTTCTGCCTAATCTGGGTCAAGTCTTAGTTTATGCAAATCTGCTCATTTTTATCTAGGTAAGATGTTTTTTCCTGCCTTGGATTCATTGCAATGTTTTTCTAGGAATAGTTTCAAACATGACACAGGAGGTGAAAGAAGTAATCCTTCGTCTGCGCTCAACAATGACTGAAAACAATACTTTGTGATGTGTTATATTTACCTTGTGATTTTTGTTTTTGTCTTTATTTTTTCTTCACCAGACTTTCCATCCCTTTCTTTATATCACCTCCTCCCAAATGAGCTCTGTTCTGGTCAGTATGAGGCTGAAGATTTTAATGATTCTTATGATCATGGGGATGAATGATGTCATGTATGGAACAGTTTCTTACCACAGTGCGTCACCACATTGTTAGCATTCCATTCTCTGCAGACAACCACCTCTACGTAAAGGGGGGTCCCAGAGCTGTCCAGATCAAACAAACGAGGTGGGAGTGAGAGGAATGCATAATGAAGGAAGATCAAGGAAAATATTCTTGGAGTCTAATGGTTACTCTTGGATTATTCAGATACAATGGAAAAAAGAGCTCAGGAATGGAAGACAGACACCGTGACAGAAACATGAGCACAATAGAGAAAGTTCTTAAGAGCCATTAGAATAGCAAAAGGGTAGATAGCATTCAGCATGTTGAATTGTATGTTGGTGATGCAATGTCTGCAGTGTGGGCTCTCTGATAATTGTTTTACACAACTCCACTCATGTGTGCAAGATTTTCTACAATGTGCATTGATATAGCCTGCTAATTGGTATTTGTGGGATCCTTGGCACAGAAGGATTTTATCACCAGCATCAAACTACATTAAAACTTGCATTTTGAATTGCATGTGTATATCTAAATCAAGGAGGAATTGTCCCAAGCCTCGAAAAGGCCAGAGGACCGAAAGTTGGCATTTATCATCAATTATAGTTCATACGTATTTATCATAAACTGCACGTCCAATGGTTGGTTGTCATTTCTTTCCTTTGCAAGGTGACTAAAGAGAGGAAAGTTAAATGGTTAGCACTTCCGCCTGGCAGTACTAGGGTCATTGGTTCGAATCCCAACCACGACACCGCCTGCCTGGAGTTTGCATGTCCTCCCTGTGCCTGCGTGGGTTTCCTCCAGGTACTCCGGTTTCCTCCCACATCCTAAAGACATGCTGGTAGGTTAATTGGATCCTGTCTAAATTGGCCCTAGTATATGTATGTATGAATATAAGTTAGGGACCTTAGATTGAACACCCTTTGAAGGTTAGGGACTGATGAAAAATGTGCAATATATATGTAAAGCGCTGCATAAATTGACAGCGCTATATAAGTACCTGAAATAAAAAATAAAGTGCACAGAATGCATAAACTCACCAACCAAGTGGTGGTCTGATATCTCTAGAAAAAAGACGTAATGCCAAAGGAGATCCTTGAGGTCCACTGATAATTTGTAAGCCATGCCATGAAGGTGGTGGAAGGTATTGGATCACTGCTCAGTTGGTGACTTTTTATGGGCAGTACAGAGGCTAAGGGGTTAGCATTTCAACCTAGCAACACTAGGGTCATTGGTTTGAATCCCAACCATGGCACTACCTGCATGGAGATGGCATGTTCTTCCTGTGCCTGTGTGGGCTTCATCCCACACTCTAATGACATGCTAGCAAGTTAATTGGCTTGTGTACTGTGTGTGTGTGTATATATATATATATATATATATATGTGTGTGTGTGTGTGTGTATAAAGTGCTGTATGAATTGATGGCACTACACAAGTACATGTAGTACCTTTAGTAAATAAATCAGGATGTCTTTGTCAAATATGTTTATGTTACATAAACAAAACCACAAACCCATTCACATTGTTCCCAGGTCCAGTGGCCCTTATCTAATCTCCAATGCCAATTTGTCACAAACAAAAGTTCATTTAAACCAGAAGACAACAAACCTACTGGTTAATTAATAAACTTTTGGAGGAAAGCATTTCTCAAAGATAAAGAGAACTTGCACATTCCATGCAGATCTTGGCTCTTGCTGGATTTGAACCCCTGAAGCTCTACAAGACAGCACTAATCAAGCCATATAAAAAAAACATTGTTTCACATTTTCCAGTCTGTAATTAGTTTTCTTTTTTATTTGCAAAGTTAAAATGAGATTTTGATGTGGTAGAAAGTAAAATGAACTCTCTCCTTGACTGATACTGTTTCTAAACACACTATATTGTTTTTTAGGTATTATACTTATGTTTAGTTTGGTGCTAACCCATTAAAGAACCCAACATTTGATATTCCTGATATGTGCCTGCTATACCATGTACTGGTGTAAGAAGGAATCCTGCTCTCTTTGCATTTCTTTGGTGTGAAATACCAGTTGTTCTTGCCAGTCTCTCTGCTTTCCTATCTCAAACTGACCACACTAAGCAGGAAGGCCCACCATGGACAGTTTTCTAGCTGTGTCGGAAGTTAACCCAATGATCAGGGTTGTGCTGACAAGTCCCCCCTCCCTTCCATTCACTGGGAAGACCATTGTGCTGCTGTTTCTCCTCCCCTAGCTATTTATACAGCCAAGAACAGAGGGTATGTGATCACTTAAAAAGGTAAAAAAAGTTATTTATAATGTTCCTATTTGTATACACAAATGTGTTGCCTTTCATTTCTATTTTAAACTGAATGGGTTGTTTTACAAGGCAAAGGTTCAAATATACATTAATGTCTCTGTCATGTGACCAATGTGATTGACTCTCACAACAGTCAGAAATTTGTGAGCATGTCCCACTGGCTCCCAAACAGAAGCCATGACTGAGAGCTGTTGGTGGCAGCTTAATCAATGTGCTTGGAGGAAGCACTGAATACGCTGTCAGTATACAACCTCAGGCAGCTGTGGACATACCTGTACATGTGTGCCATGTGGGTATTAAAGCAAGAGGTTAAAAATACAGCTGTGTTGATTTTTTTATATTATTTTACCTACAGCTACCTGTTTTTTGTAGTGTTCTTTATTTTTCATTCCTGACAGGTCTTTTTTACCCCCTGCAGCCCCATAGATGCTTCCTAGTTCATGCTGATATATACAGTGGGGATCGAAAGTTTGGGCACCCCAGCTAAAAAATTTGTATTAATGTGCATAAAGAAGCCAAGGAAAGATGGAAAAATATCCAAAAGGCATCAAATTACAGATTAGACATTCTTATAATATGTCAACAAAAGTTAGATTTTATTTCCATCGTTTACACTTTCAAAATAACAGAAAACAAAAAAATGGCGTCTGCAAAAGTTTGGGCACCCTGCAGAGTTAATATCTTGTACTGCCCCCTTTGGCAAGTATCACAGCTTGTAAACGCTTTTTGTAGCCAGCCAAGAGTCTTTCAATTCTTGTTTGAGGTATCTTTGCCCATTCTTACTTACAAAAGTCATCCAGTTCTTTGAGATTTCTGGGCTGTATGTCACGCACTGCTCTTTTAAGGTCTATCCATAGATTTTCAATTATGTTGAGGTCAGGAGATTGTGAAGGCCATGGCAAAACCTTCAGTTTATGCCTCTTGATGTAATCCCCTGTGGATTTCGAGGTGTGTTTAGGATCATTATCCATTTGTAGAAGCCATCCTCTCTTTAACTTCAGCTTTTTCACAGATGGCATCAAGTTACCATCCAAAATTTGCTGAAATTTTATTCAATCCATTTTTCCTTCTACTCGTGAGATGTTCCCTGTGCCACTGGCTGCAACACAACCCCAAAGCATGATTGATCCAACCCCATGCTTAACAGTTGGACAGAGGTTCTTTTCATTAAATTCTGTGCCCCTTCTTCTCCAAACGTACCTTTGCTCATTCCGGCCAAAAAGTTCAATTTTAACCTCATCGGTCCACAGAACTTGTTTCCAAAATGCATCAGGCTTGTCTATATGTTCATTTGCAAAGTTCAAACGATGATTTTTGTGGTGAGGACGTAGAAGAGGTTTTCTTCTGATGACTCTTCCATGAAGACCATATTTGTACAAGTATCTCTTTATAGTGGAATAGTGTACCACAACTCCAGTGTCTGCCAGATCTTTCTGGAGGGATCGTGCAGTCAAACGTGGGTTTTGATGTGTTTTTCTCACAATCCTGCGAGCTGTTCTGTCTGATATTTTTCTTGGTCTTCCAGATCTTGCTTTAACTTCCACTGTTCCTGATGACTGCCATTTCTTAATTACATTCCGAACAGAGGATATTGACATCTGAAAACGCTTTGCTATCTTCTTATAGCCTTCTCCAGCTTTGTGAGCGTCAACTATTTTCAGTTTCAGTTTTCTAGACAACTGCTTAGAAGAACCCATGGTGCTGATTGTTGGGGCAAGGTCAGATGAGTCTGGGCATTTAAAACCTTTGAGATTGACATAACCTGGTCTTCCCAGATGGTGATTGAGAACAATCCATGACACTGGCAGGTCTCAGCTTTGCAAAGGGGGCAGTGCATGCTATAAATTCTGCAGGGTGCCCAAACTTTTGCAGATGCCATTTTTTTGTTTTCTGTTATTTTGAAAGTGTAAATGATGGAAATAAAATCTAATTTTTGTTGACATATTATAAGAATGTCTAATCTATAATTTGATGCCTTTTGGAGATTTTTCCATCTTTCCTTGGCTTCTTTATGCACATTAATACAAATTTTTAGCTGGGGTGCCCAAACTTTCGATCCCCACTGTACTGTACCAAGTGTTGTTTGGTTGATGTGACATTTAAAAGACCCATTTAACCACAAGCCTACCGGGCACTTATACCCCCTTCCTGCCAAGGCCAATTTCCAGCTTTCAGTGATGCCACACTTTGAGTGACAATTGCGTGGTCATGCAACACTGTACTCATATGACATTTTTATCATTTTTTTGTGACAGATAGAGCTTTCTTTTGGTGGTATTTAATCACCTCTGGGTTTTTTTTTTTTAAACAAACCAAAAACCACAAAAAAGTTGAAAAAAAAATGTTTTTTTCTTAGTTTTTGTTATAAAATTTTGTAAATAAGTGATTTTTCTCCTTCACTGATGTGCACTAATGAGGCTGCAGTGATGGGCACTGATAGGCTGCACTGATGGACACTGATAGGTGGCACTGATGGGCACTGATGAGGAGGCACTGGTAGGTGGCACTGATGGGCATTGACAGGCATCACTGATGGGCACTGAAAGGTAATACTGATACATGGCACTGATATATGGCACTGATAGGTGGCACTGATAGGCAGCACTGACTGGCACTGATAGGTGGCATTGCTGTGCACTGGTAGGCACTGATATGTGGCATTGATGTGGCACTGATGGACACTGACAGGTGGCACTGCTGGGGCTACACTGATCATCAGGGCACACTGATCATCAGTGCCCTGATGATCAGTGTACATGTCCCCTCCGTGAAAAGCCGATTACCGGCTCTCCTCTCCTCTTGAGCTGTCAATGTGACAGCTCAAGAGGAGAGAAATGCCGATAACCGGCATTTCCCTGTTTACATGTGATCAGCTGTGATTGGACACAGCTGATCACATGACCGAGCCGACATCTCTTTCCGTGATTGGTGATCCGCTGTGTCTGAGGGACACAGCACACCGCCGATCGCCGCGCTGCGCGCTCCCCTGAGCCGCACATGCACGGTGAGAATGGGAGGACATCATATGACGTCCTCCCAGAACGAGAGAACCACCTTGCGTCCGTCATATTACTATATGGCGAGTGGGAGGTGGTTAATGATTTGGCACATAGTTGTTACAGGTACTTATAGCACTGTCAATTTACGCAGAGCTTTACATATATATTATATATTAACATCAGTCCCTTCTCTCAAGGAGCTTACAGTCTAAGGTCCCTAACTCACATTCATACATAGTAGGGCCAATTAACCTACCAGCATGTCTTCTGAGTATGGAAGGAAAACCACACAAGGAGAACATGAAAACTCTGTGCAGGTGGTGTTGCGGTTGGAATTTGAACAGACAATCGTAGGGCTGCAAGGCAGAAGTATTGGCATACTGTTTATATATATGCAAAGGTTGGCGAAATCAAAACTCCATCCAAAGTAAATGCCTTGGCGCCTTTGAGTGCCTACAATACCTGTTGCTATGTATATATTTTTTTCAATAAGAAATCTAAAAATATATAAACAAAAAATAAAAAAAATTGACCCCAAAAGACATTATACTTTTAATGGTGGAACATATCTTAATCACAAACATGTTTACAGCCATAGAATCAATCCAGCAGTTGGAGTACAAATTTGTTTTCACTGAATTAGTGGCATTGGTAAAGTGTTTACAGACGGTATGTTCTAGTAACATTGTACCAAATCGAGGTGCTGGTTGGGATGTGTCCTTTAAGTATGTCTCTGTTGCAGTGTTGCCAACAGTCAGTATTTTTAGTGGCAGCCAGTAAAAAAATGGGCACTTTTCTCCTGCTAGCAAATGCCAGTGACAGGAAAAGGTTGCCAATGAAAAACATGGCTGTGTTCAGGCAGTGCCAGCAGGGGTGGGTCTGGCGGATGCAGTGCCTGAGCAGAGCAGAGCTGGAGCCTCTTGTACAGGTCTGTGGGATGGGGGCAAGGCAATTCGGGAGCAGAACTGTCAGTGCTGTTTGGACTGGAGTGGACTGAAGTGACCACCTGGCATGGAGAGAGACTGTCACTGTGACTCAGGAGGGGATGTGTCAAGTCGGTGGGATGCCATCATTATCTGTGCTGCTGCACACTGTGCTGTCAGTGTCACTGTGAGAGTCAATTTCATGCGTGTGTGCCTGACCATTCTAATTTCTTATCCTCCTGAGTCCTTTCCCTGAGCTACTCACTTACTATATCAAAAATAAAATAGAAAATATGTTTTTGCCTTAATTTCTACCTTAAGTCACATTGCTACTTGCATATTGTACTTGTTTGTAGCTTAACCACTTGCCCTTCTGAGGATTTACACCCCTTCCTGACCAGGCCATTTTTTGCATTACGGTGCTGTTTTATTTTAACTCACAATTGTGCGGTCATGCAACGCTGCACCCAAAATAAATTTACGTCCTTTTTTCCACATGAATTAAGCTTTCTTTTGGTGGTATTTGATTGCCTGTGTGTTTTTTATTTTTTTTTGCGCTATAAAAAAAGAAGACGACAATTTTGAGAAAAAAAAACAATATTTTTGACTTTTTGCTATTAAACATGTCCAGTAAAAAAATGTAACAAATCTAATTTTGTCAAATTTAGGCCAAAATGTATTCTGCTACACGTCTTTGCTAAATAAAATCCCAATACGTGTAAATTAATTGGATTACTTGATAGTTATAGTGCTTACAAATGGCGGTATAGATGCTGGAATTTCTTTTTTTTACTAATAATGGCGGCAATTAGCGATTTATAGCGGGACTGCGGCGGGCATTCTGACACTGGGGGAACTGATTGGTGGCACCTAGTGACACCAATACAGTGATCAGTGCTAAAAAAAGCACTGACACTGTACTAATAGCAATGGGCAGGAAGGGGTTAACATCAGGGCTGATCAAAGGGTTAACTGTGTGCTGGGAGTGCTTTACAGGGGGGCGGTGTGGTGGTGCTTCACTGTAAGGACACTGCTCTGGATGGCTATGCTGCGCACAGCCATCCATAGCAGTGTGTCAGAGCTGACAGGGAGGAGGACTGTTAGCAAACAAAGCAGCCCTCCTCCCCATTGGAGATCCTTGGTAATAACCGGGCATCAGTGGGTAATCACCGTCTGGGACCCGGTAATTGACAGCCACGGCCGTGAATGGCGGGGCGGGTAGGGCGCACACTGCACATATCCCCTACCCAGAAATGCAAAATCACTTATATATATACCTGATTTTACACACCCTTGCCGCTCTGTAGCAGTGTATCTGCTATAGGGTGGCGGGGAAGCGGTTAAATACTGAAATTTGCACTTAGAACTGATTTTTTTTTAACTTTTGCTAATGCCAGTAAAAACTTTGGTGTGCCAGTAAAATTTGTGTGTCGTGTTAGTGAATTTCAATCTGGTAGGTTGGCAACACTTCTGTGTTGTCATCAAGTGTTTGGAACTTGGGAGGTATGCGCTATCTGCTGTTTGTTTACAAACTGAGAATGCGGTACAACACTGCCAAACAAATGCCACGTGCTAATTTTCCTAAATAAAGAAATATAACTTGGATTACTTTAGACAAATGATACAATTACTACTTTGTGAACTATACTTAAAACTATTTAAATGTAATATGACAAATGGTAGACAACGATGAGCGGAAACATTTGGAAACCTCCTAGAAAAAAAGTAATTGTTCTGCCTGAAGTGTCTCCTCCTCAAAACATGCCAACATCTCTCTACTGTACTTAATTCTGGCCCAGAAGGGCCACCCAGAAAGTCTTTCATCAACCTTCACTTCAAAGGAAATCACTAATAAATTCCACACTAGAGAGATCCTATTCTATTCTAACTTCACTTACTTTTTCCTACATCCTTATAAAATGATGGGCAATTTGTTGCTGTCTGAGAGTGGGAATACTAACATTCCTTTGCTGCCAAATACTTATATTTGGGATGCTGTGAAGTGAGCTGCTAGGAGGGACATAAAGTAGTGGGCTTTGTTGCACTTTGTTAGGATATCAGTTATCATATCAACACATTAACCTTATTCAAAATGGATAATTATATTTTAGGATGTTCTCAGATCAAATGTTCTCAAGAATCATTGACTCTGCTGCTTTGCGCAAAATGGGCAAGGCACAGGTTCACTTAAAGTGGTTGTAAACTGCAGACATGAAAAATGAACAGTTTACAACCTTCTATAGTGCACACTAGCCTGAATCCAAAGCACAGAGTGTGGCTTCTCTCTGATCCATTTGCTATCTGCACGAGTCACTGAAAAAAGCCCACACCTCCTGGGAGAAAGCCCGCCCCCTTCCAGCAACTCACAGCCTCAGCTTCTATGAGTGTACAGGGGGTGTGTCCCTTCCCTCCAATCAGCTGTCAGATATTAGGGAACTCTGTGCTTTAGCCCACCAGTGTGTGTCATCAGACCCCTGCCCCCTGCTTTCTGAGGCTGTGTGCTGGGATGACTGCACTCCTGCACATGCACAGGAATGACATCATCCCATGTCAGTCAATAAAGATGAAGATGTCTAGAGCCTGGCACGCAGAAGAAACCGGGTAGAAGATGTCTGTCAGTGAGGGATTTTGGACCATTGATGGATTGGTAAGTATCAGGAAGTTTATCTCTGCTTTAGCCACCGGTCACATCGGTGCATCTTGGCATGTGATTTGCATGCCATGTGACTTGCAAATTGTATGCCAAGTCGCACCCTATTGTTTGCTATTAGAGCGGTCATATTGGTGTGGTTCTGACTTGGTCGGAGCCGCACCAATTTCTACTACTACTACTTTTGTAGCCATTTCCATAGACATCTGTGCCAGATGTCTTGCAAATCAAAAAGGAAAATGGCAGGATACCTGATTTTGAAATTGTGTGACTTCACTGGCTCTGATGTGAATGGGGGGTTAATCAAACATAAAAATGTTGTTTTCTACAGTGTTGTCATTTACATTTTCCTTACAAACACAGTGTATACTACATTCAAAGCATCCCTCTGATGATAACTGTCACAGTTGCCAGTGTGCTTATGTTAACTCTCAACTCAACTTTTAAGTCCTCTGCATCTTCCTCAGCAGTGACATCCTGGGATGCCCTGTACTAATCTAGGGCGGCATTACAACAACCTTATAAGTGATATGCACACGATTCTCTCATAAATGAGAGTTGCAACTTGTATGTTTACAAATAGACTTTATATTTTATTACTACACCCAGACTGGCGCCCTGTTGTTTTTTTGTCTTAGATTCATGATGCACAGATCACCCACAAGCATGTTGTTTGCCATATACAGTATGCCAATATACCTGATTTAGAAAGTGTGACATTTGCCTCTGATTTTTATTTATATCATTGCCACTGGCAAATGTGAGAGATGGGGTGGAAGCCTCATCCTAAGGCTGCCGGGTTCATACCAAAGGCGGACTGACCATTTGGAAACTCGGGCACTGCCCGAGGGCCCAGGGTCAGTAGGGGGCCCCATGAGATGCCCCTGGTACCTTTTTCATGGGCTTTTTTGAGTTTGGGCAAGGACACAGGGGCCCCATGATCCCCTATTGCTCGGGGGCCCCATGAGTTGTCAGTCCGCCCCTGGTTCATACTCATAACTTTTCAGCTTGAGAAATTAAGATGATGATGAAAACTAGTCACTCATGTTGGAACCAAACAGTAACAATGTGACCA